GCCGGTCAACCACCGTTGACCGCCGGTCTCCGGCGTTGACTTTTTTTTTTTTTTTTTTTGAATTTTTTTTTTCTTAGAAAAAAAATATTTTAATTAATTTTACAGTCTTGGCTACTAAATTACTGTCTCAGACAGTAATATTACTGTTTGGGACAGTAATATTATGAATATTATTTTCCCGAACAGTAATATTGTTAATATTATTGTCTAAGACAGTTAAATTACTGTTGGAGACAGTAATTTAGCAGCCAAGGCAGTAATATTAATTAAAATTATTTTTTTTAAGAAAAAAATATTTAAAAAAAAATAAATCAATTAACAGTTAAATTACTGTCTCCGACAGTTAAATAACTGCTAGAGACAGTAATTTAGCAACGAATACAGTAATATTAATTAAAAATATTTTTTTTAAGAATAAAAAAGTCAATTAACAGTTAAATTACTGTCTCCGACAGTTAAATAATTGCTGGAGACAGTAATTTAGTAACGAATACAGTAATATTAATTAAAAAAAATTAAGAATAAAAAAGTCAATTAACAGTTAAATTACTGTCTCCGACAGTTAAATAACTGCTGGAGACAGTAATTTAGCAACGAATACAGTAATATTAATTAAAATATTTTTGAAGAAAAAAAAATAGTCAATTAACAGTTAAATTACTGTCTCCGACAGTTAAATAACTGCTGGAGACAGTAATTTAGTAACGAATACAGTAATATTAATTAAAAAAAAATTAAGAATAAAAAAGTCAATTAACAGTTAAATTACTGTCTCCGACAGTTAAATTACTGCTGGAGACAGTAATTTAGCAACAAATACAGTAATATTAATTAAAATATTTTTGAAGAAAAAAAAAAAAAAGTCAATTAACAGTTAAATAACTGCCGGAGACAGTAATTTAGCAGCCAAGACAGTAATATTAATTAAAATATTTTTTTTAAGAAAAAACATAATTATAAAAAAAAAAAAAAAAAAGTGAACGGCGGTCAACGGCTGCGGCCGGCGGTCTCCGGTGGTGGCGGGTCAAAATTGAGGTCAAAATTGAAATTATGGTTAAAATTGGTTAATTGATGAAATTGGGCTAAATTGGGGTGTAAATCATGAAATTGGAGTTGAATTGGGTTCAATGAATTGGGGGTAATTTTGGTATATATAAAGGGATTTTCCTTATTTACAAATAAGTTTGAATGGACTGGATTTATTTGAAAAACAAAAAAGTTGGATGTCCCTCTTTTAATTAAGTGCCCTTGTCATGGGCCTATTTGCCATTTGGCCTTATTTTAAAATCTAGAGAAAAAAAAATGGACTCCTTGTAAATGCACATATATAACTAGGGGATTTTGTCAAATAATCATTTATTTATTAGTCCCTATTGGTAATGTCCTTTCTAGACTTTAAGTTTTTAGTTTTTTTTTTTTTTTTCTTTGGCATAAAAACAAAGGAATTATGACACGTCCACTTACAAATTTTATTAAATTATCTTGTCAAAGGGACGGGAGATGTGGAAATGTATTTTTTTTGTTAGTTTGTAACTGTAATGTATTTTTACCATATTACCCTTGAAAATCAAGGCTAATGGTCATTATCTAGCTACTGTTTACAATTTAGATTTTGTAGAAGGGGTTGTTCTTCCTTCAACCGTTTTAACAAACAAAAATAGATTCAAGGTAAGCATCAATCTCCCTCATGCTGCTGAATTAACCACAAATTTAGTAGGGGTTGTCTAGGGTCCGAGAGGGCCGTACTTCTCGGACCGTAATCTACCAATGAGAATGCGCCACATATGATTAGTACGTACCTAGTAAAAAAAAGTACGATACATATGTTATTATTAAATTACATAAAACCCCTTTTTAATTAAACTTAAAAATATAATTAAAAAATCAATAATTTAAAATAGCAATTAAAGAATCTAATCATTCTTTCACAATCTTTTACCCTAATCTCCCTTTTCGTTTTTTTCGACATCATCATCGATCTTTCATCCTCTAAGAAGAAAATGATCCTGTCTCATCATCGAAGGTACAATCTTTTTCTTCTCTGTGGAAAAAGGAAAACAAGAAACTAAAGGAGTAGGGTTTTGATTTGTCGTTTTGTTTATCTAATTCAAAAATTGCACAAATTCTTTTCTAATTGTGTTTCGTCTAATTATTGTGTGTAGTGAAACAAAATTATACGTTTCATCAAAAGAATCTCAATGAATCAAATATATATAATTGAATATATTTGTTTTAACCAGATGTATGTTTGTTTTGTTTTTACCAGATGTATGTTCTTAAAATATAATTATTGTTTTTACCAGATGTATGTTCTTAAAATATAATTATTGTTTTTACCAGATGTATATTCTTAAAAGTAAAATATAATTGTTGTTTTCGTTCCAATTTCCACTAGTTTGTCACACAAGTTGTACTTGTGTAATTTAAGAATTATTTGTATCAAAAAAATAATAAATTGTATTTACGTTTTATATTTGTTGGAATAATTGATTCTCAATTGGTTGTTCGTGCTTTGCAACGAGAGCAAAAACTCTACTGGGATTTGGAATATGCTAGGCGAGATTTTAAGGACTTAATGCACAACACGTTTAGTCTTCATTATGTTTTTGGGAGCAAAACATTGTGGCCGATTGCCTAGCGGATTATGCTCATAATCACATTCATCGTCAAGTTTTTTTTTTTTTTTTCCAGCAAAATGATCTCCATGCATCAGTCTTACAACAGAGACTCGTCTGGCACATGGTATTTTCGTCCGTAGGCAGCGTTTTCGTATGAGGAGTTCTATTCTTTGTAAAGAATAATTTTTGAAGATCGTGTTGGTTCGGTTCAATTTCGGTTTTGTTGGAAGATTGAGGAAGTATAAAGACAAATATCGGTTTCGGGCTCCCCAAAATTTTGTCGAAGATGACCGCTGAAGAAGTTGAAGCTGATTGGATATTTTGGGTTTTCTCATATCCGGAATCCAGCCCCTTTTGGGGACAAATTTGCTACTCCAGAAATTCTAGTCTTAATAGGAAATCTTTTTTTATTACATTTCTTACCCTCTTTTGGGGTTTTCTTTGTAATGAGTTTCGGTGGATAATAAAAAAAAAAAAAATTATTTGTGATGAATACTCGTTGATGTAACCAATTCCCGAGCCGATTTTAATTTCCAATATTTCCCATTATTTTCTAAAAGGTGTTCTTATCTGAGATTGTACACTTTCGCCTAATTCTATAACGTCGAGTGCAGTACAAGCTAGTAATAAACTAACAAAAGTGAACTCGTTAGCCTTTTGGTCAGCAGATTGCATATGTCTTAATACATCAAAGGCGTTGTTAGGTTGCGTACTTTGAGCATAAACTGCAACCATCACACTCATTGCAATTAGAGCTTTCTGTTTAAGATGATAAAAAAAATATTCCTAGCCGACTCAATATCACCAAATTTCGCGTACAATTGAAGAAGCTCAGTCATCACAGGAACAAATGCAGCTAATCCCATTTCAAGTACAACACTGTGAAATCCATGCCTGATATAATTCTCATCCAATTGTGAATACGCTCCGATTACTTCTTGCATGTCTAATATTTTTTTCACTGTAAGCTCGCAACTCGAGAAAGATTTTCAATTATTTCTTTGGCCTATTATTTACGACATAACCATGTATCATGATCCTCCGAGAAACCATATCTTTGTTCGGCATATGCTTGAAAACCCGAAGTGCTGCCTCTAAATCCCTGCATTTGGAATATATATAGAGAAGTAAATTCCACAAAATCGTACGACAATAAAGTGATATTTTGATAGAATAACCACAAAGCATCATTTTATTAAAAAGTTTTAAGGTTTCGAAATATTCCTTATTGCTCCTCACACATGCAGAAACCATTACACTGCACAAAACCACATCTTCATTACGTGTCCGATGAAATAATTTCCATGCAGTCCTCATATCCCAACACGAGTAAACACCAACAAGTGCAGTCACTATTGCCACCTGTGAATCAATTAACCCCATCTTTATTGAATATTCATGAATCCCACATGCCAAATCTTTCGAGCCTAGTGAACCGACAACCTTTATAACACTTAAGACATTCACAAAATTTCGCCTTTCTCCTGAGACGAGCATCGCTTTGAATAAACCTATGGCCTCCTCAGACGTGTTTTCCCTGACCAAACTGAATATTCTAAACGACCATGATCTTGGAATATCCTTATGTTTGAAATATTCTACAGGGTCTACCATATTTAAAGAAATGTGGGCTTTGCCGTTTGGTGAGGCCTGATGAGCTGTGTGTCTCTTGGTAACCTTATCGAACAGTTTGTGGTCACAAATTCCAGCGTTAACCACATCGCTCTATGAGGCATTTACTCGAACACTTTGGCTGCCTATATTTCACCTTCCTCAACACACTTTTCAGAATTCAACCCTTTCCCATGCTTCCTCAAACCTCAGCTTCGATTTACAAAATCGCAAGAACAACGATTTGGGGTTCATGACCTCTAAAATACCCCATATTTCCCTACGGCCATCAGAAAAGATTAAAAGGGTTCAAGACAATATTGAATATTTCCATATGATCTCAGTTGTAAAAAGAATGAGAAGATGAAGCAGCCCGAAGACTTCGATTTTTGCTTAATTTCGATCCGTAGATTTTTTGATTTTTGATTTTGGGAAGAACATTTGAGTTTTTTTAATCGTGTATTATATGTTAACTGATCTGATTATTATAATAGTTTTTTTAGTGGAAAATAATTCATTGGTTTAAAAATTTAAGGTTAATTAAGTAATTTTAGCAAAGTACGATGTGTGTATGATGAGGTACGATGTGTTTTTACTGGGTTCGTACCAAATACTAGTATCGTACTGACTCGTACTGGGTCGTACTATAAAATTAATGGATGAGATTAAAAGTTAATGACTTTATACGCTCCAGATTAAATATTTTACGGTCCGAGAAGTACAACACTCTCGGACCCTAGACAACCCCAATTTAGTAACCATACAATTCAGATAGAAAATATATTAACAAAAGCAAATAACTAGTTTCCAGTAGCAAACATGTTCATCTAATAATACACAAGTCAAAACACACAAAAAAAGACAACTCGAAACGAAATAAATAATATAAAATAAAATAAAATAAATTCCCAGTTTCATATACAGGGAGAGTTTACACGGCATATGCGATAAAAAATGCATGTTCTGCAAGAGAAACTGAAATCCAAATCCACTCTTCACTCAGCTTTAATAGCAATAAAACACAATTCCCTGTTAAAACAAAGTTTCATTACATTAGTCTGCAGTACTTGTACCAACATTAGGTGATCTGTTGTCAATCATGCCAAAAAAAAACAAATAAAGCAGCAATAATCAAGATCCATAAACAAATGATATGAGACTAGAAGTCGATCTTTCTCGACTTTAATTACAAGTCTTCTAGGCTAACAAGGTTAGCTTGAAACAAAATAGCCCTTAATTTGAATAAGAAATAATCTTACATTAGTTTTAAAAAAACAAATCTCAGGAAGAAAGTAATGTTTCACATAGAACTGGAGTTTATTGCAATTAATACCCGTGTTATAACGAATTGCTGAAAAACTACCTCGTGTTATTTTATTGGCAAAAACTTCCCCTGTGATTTAATTTTTACCCCGGTTTGGGGGGTTTTGTGCTAAAAAAAATTGAATCATAGGGGGTTTTTTGCCAATAAAATTGTTTTTTAGCAATTCAATATAACACAAGGGTAGTAATTGCAATAAACCCCATAGAACTGAAGCAAGAAATTCACGTAGAAATTGTATTTTACAAGTAAAAAGCGAACCAGATATGTGATCGATACGGTCACATCACACGACTCATTTTTGCTCAACTGTCCCGGTAGCATTTCCTTCCCCTGTGAGGAGATGATCTGGATCCTGCAGGCATTAATAATAATAATACGCTATGAATTTCGCTACCGACTTCAAATGTACATACGAAATTATTAAAAAAATATGAAAAAGGTACCTCCATTCCCCACTTGATGTAATCTGGGGACTCACAAGCCTTGTACTCATCTACAAGACTCTCAATTATGTCTCTAGATTCATCAAATTCTGATAGATCATTGTCCTGTGCAAGTTTCAAGAATTATTTGTCGGCAAATTAAAGAAAATGAAAATAATATACGATCGCACTGTCTCTTTAAAGTACCTATTAATATAGCCACAACATAGGAAAATAACAGTTACTTCTCAATTAAGATGAATTTCAAGAACATTAAAATGAAGAGAAATCTTACAGCAAACATTGGGTGATTCCTATAATTGTCGAGAAAAGCTTGTCTCTTTCTGAGCTTGTCATATTGGCTCAAACACTTGGAGAACAAGTGGCGGATGCCAGTATGACTGGCTAGCATGAGTCCACTCACCTAACAAATACAAAAAGGAACGTATAATTCGGATGTCTCCGTACTTGAATTTAGTACTTATAAGCTAATTTATATTCAACATATCAAACAGATATTGTAAATATGCAACTCAGGTTGTATGAGCTTTGTAAATAAATCTTCGACGGTACTATGAATAAGTGGAAAAACACATTGATCTGAGTGTCGGATTGCTCCTTCGTTAAGAACTGAGCTGAATCTTAACTCAAGATACTATCTAGGAACAACATCAACTTTCTGTGGATGAAAAACAATATTCTATTATGTTATAGACCACATACGGAGTAAAAGAATTACAGAATATCTATCTTCCAGTTCTGATAAATATAACTGGACAACCATAAAATAAAATAAGAGTAAAATGCGTCTTGAGATATAAATACTTGAATTGAGAAAAAGGAATTTCATTTTGACACCCTATTTAGACAGAGTAACATTTATTTACTTCCAAGTTTCAAGGCAGAATATGTAAGTTTCAAGGCAGAATATGTAAGTGATACACAATAGGTTCTCAAAACAATACTTTGCACCCACTCTAGCTTTACAAAGAAATAACCCTAACTTGCTAGAGAGCTCATTGCACATATTTTCTCTCATTATTTTATTAGCAATTACTTCAAAAGCTTCACTTTGCAAAAATGGCTGACCCAAATTGCTTAGGATGTTCGTTGCACTAATTTTCTCCCACAACCAATCTAGGAAAATACAACATGTTTCCGATTCCTAAACAGAAACAGTTGAAAGAAAGAAACTTCATACACAATTTCATTTATGCAATTCTTTCCTCATAAGATGTCCTATTTCCAATCGCATTTCCTTTAGTACCAGGATCTTTAAGTGTGAGATGCCAACATTCGAAGGATAAAAAGAATTACGCGTCAGCAATGCTATTTATCACATACGTCTGCCGATTCGATTTCGGTTTAAAGCTGAGATAATAATTATAGAAAGAAAAATGGATAAAATCTTACACGGTGAGCTGTTTGCACGTAAGGAGACTTCCTGGACAATGCAACCTATCAAAATCAAAAGATAGTTTCTGAGCATTCAACTTAGAGAAAAAGAAAACCTCAGTCAAAGGTAATAAATTTGAATCACACCTGAATGCTAGCTGGTCCCCACTCAATAAAATTAACAAGTTTTCTTTCACGAATTCTCTGCAGACTTTCATGGACCTGGTTTTAAGATCACCAGCAATAGTAAAATAAAGAGAGTATGAGCAACATTGCAGGGTAACATAAATAAGAAGGGACAGTAGTAAGTCCTCCAAGATCAACATCCAATTTTCTAGCTAGCTGCTAACAGAGTAAAAACCAATATTGCATTTTTCTATTAATGAGATCGAAACATCAAGATCTCTACTGCATTATCTTAGTAAGGAGATAGATATACTTCAATAATTTTATAATGAATTTCAGTTTTCCAGTTATCTCCGTCTTTACATATTTGTCAATTTTCATGCACATTTTACATTTTCCCATACTTCTCATCCATTATCAATTTGAGTTTATTGAGCAACTATCAAGATAATTGCAATTTCATAACCTAAGATCGGCAAACTTCAATTTTTATTCAGTAGTTTGATGCCTTCTTCCATACTATATCTTATGAGAGCGCAAATTGGAGTACAATTAAAAATGAAAAGCACACAACTGCACAATCTATGGCAAACTATGCGTACGATTCCAATAGCACCACATGCCTGCATATATTTGTAAGTTTCCTAGTATCACATCCTCGTCGCGTTTCCAGCAAACAAGAAATGATAAAAATAAATTCTATTACAATAAAATACCGAATCGATTTCACAACAAGTATTTTTCCCATGCAAACAACTTTCAAGGAATAATATCAGAATTTATTGAGAATCTGTTATAAAATACCTGAGTAGGATCCACTTCTCCCTGAATAATGTTTAAAATTGATATGTATTTTGCCTGGCTAGCTTCTTTTGTTCGAGCGCAAGAGGAAACCATGATATTTTTTGTCTGTAAAGGAGAACACAATGAGAACTATATTCATGTATATACATATATAGCAGATTTAAATAATTTTCTCTTGCCTGAAGAAGTCTTCTCATTACATCAAGTACAGTTGTTTTCCGAATTACATTAGCCTGCCAATGTAATACACCAGAATTAGATTGCAAATTTACGATTTTACAGAGTAACAATGAAACTACTCTTAAGATACAGTGCATACAGAAAGAAAGCAAGGCCCTGCTTTATATTTAACAATAAAATAATATGTGAAGGCACCATTGGTACTATTGACATAGCAGCCAACATCTGGCATTTCAGAAGACACATGACATAGTATCTTATCACAGTTAACTGATCACTGTATATAAGTAATCCGCTTAAGAGAAATACAATGACTGGTGCAAATAAGTTGCAAAGATGTGTATAGGGTATGAGGGATAAGAGTGACCATATACTTACAGAGATTTGACTGACAAGAATTGCTTTCTCAAATATAATTTTTAAATGCGAGATTCAAATCATCTCAGTCAAAGAATAGAGAAAGTATTAATGTTCTTTTATCTCATTTTGCTTATATTATTATCAACGTTCTTTATTCCTAAGTTTCAGATTTTAGAAATTAAATAAAATTTGTACAATGTTTTTATTTCAAAAGTATCGTTATCTTCATGATTTACTAGTGGCCTTTTCTCTCACAATCATAGAATTTGCTTACTCATGAATATATTATAAAAACTTGATAAAAATCTGTAATGGTAAAACATGTATAGGTGAAAAATTTAATGGGACAAATTTGATATACCAACTTTAAATTTCATGGTAAAATTCGAGAATCAGCCAAACATTTGACATTGACTGGATATTAGTGAAGAAACTCATGGGTCACTTAGATCATTTTTGAAAGTGTATCCTCTCATTGGACATAATGGCAAAACTCATCTAACAAACATATATATACTCTAAAGTACATAAAAATCATAATTAGAATCATGTGAAGAAAATCCTATATAAATCAGGTTGAAAATTACCAGTAAAACCTTTTGTGTAAGGAACTATCAATAGATATATTAATACCTTTCACAAAATACTAAATAATGTCATCTATAATTAAAAAATATTAGAAAGAATTTGTTAATGATATCCAACCTGGCGCTCCACTGTAAGAGGCGTGTATCCTGTCATTAGAAAGTGGCATCGAGGTGTAGGGATCAAAGAAGCAAGAAGTCCAACCAAGTCATTATTCATATATCCAGGATAGCGTAGTGTTGTTGTACTTGCTGACATGACAGTAGACACTAGAGAATTCGTCTGAGCGAAAGTGGGAGTCGAGATATGAAGCCGCTCTACAGCAATCCTATTAAGCGAGGTATTATCAAGAACAACTACGCAATCAGCATTCAGTGTCAATCGCTTCAGCGTTAGAAGGGAGTTATATGGCTGTACCACCACATCACTAGTTTCGTTTTGGTTAGGAAATACACTGTATGTCTGAACAAGTTTTTTGCTGTATCGGTCATTTAGAGTCTCCAAAAGATAAGAACCCATCCCTGCAAACACACAATCATTTTCAGATCATGACGTAATTGTTAAATCCCACAATGATAAATAAACCTAGAATGAAACTATTCATTAATGAGTCATTCCATAAATGCTAAGAGCTCATAAATAGCATCATAAAAGAGTAAGTAAGTCTACATCAGCAAAATATATCTGTGACAAATAAGCATGACAAGAATTATAATATTCACCAATGTCCGTAATGCATTTACACATTAATAGTTTGGCAAAACTGATAAACGAATAACTTCGAAGAAATAAATCAGACAGAAGAGGTTGTTAAAGCACCTGAGCCTGTTCCCCCAGCAATTGAATGGCACAGAACAAAACCCTCTAGACTATCACTGCCATCTGCCTCTCTATCAATCATGTCCATTAGATCCTCCTCATATTGCTTACCCTGATCAAAATGATAAAAGTTGCATAGATAAGAAGGAACTTATGAAAATTATCTTAGCGTCCACCTTTATGTATTACAGAACAGAAGAAAGAAGGCTGAAAATATAAAAGTAAAATAGATGAAGTCTAAAAATGAGGAAGTTACTTAAAACGCCACATGTCAAGCTCAAGCAAGATCCTGCCTCAATGAACTTTGCTAGCAACTAATTTGTGCTTATCTTGGCTTTGCAAAAGAAGTCAACAAGACCATTTATAATAAAAACAACCCGGAACCTAAATCAACACTACAATCAACCCGTATTGGAGGGTAGCATACTCATCAATCTCCTTCCATAACTACACCCCTAGTAAACAATTTGTATTTCGTGCGGATAATGCTAGTCATCCATATGTCAACTCTGATAACATGTGGTGATACTCTAAGCCAAGGGAGACTCTATGGTATAGAAAGAAGGCTAGCAACTATTTCACTTTTATCCTATTTTTCCTAGAGGAGTTAATCCAAGTTGATGGAGAAGCACATCACAAGCGTTTCAAACCATTCTAAACTTCCTTCTGAAAGGAATCAGAAGCATTAAACTGCTTGTGTTAATACAGTAACAATATAGTATTAATAAGCCAAAAAAGTGTTTATTATAAACTCGGAAAAGATGGGTAGATGTGGATGGTATCGAGACAGGATACCTAATCGAATGCAAGAGTCCAGTCTTGACCAGTGAATAAGATAAAGATAGCATAAAAGTCTCTAAAAACTTCCATTTTCTATAATTAAATAACTTTTACATAAATTTTGCTTCGCCGATTTATTCCTATATTCACGGTGTTTCACTTGGGTATGATGAGCATTTCATGAAGCAACCGGAAGTCATCAAATTGAATCCTATCACAAGATGTCTAGGCATTGGAAGAAAGCAAATTAAAATCAACTGAAAAGGTTGATATATCGAAGACCAAAGCAGAAACTCAAAATACCTAAATGTGTTGACCATTAAAAATGACAATATCAGCCCTCTTCAGTATTCCAAGGCAGGACATATTTGAGCAGATATAGTTTGTAGGAGATGGCTTACAGACAAAATACAGTCAGAAACTAAGAAGCCTACTACACTCGTAAAGAATATTTCTAGCATTTTTTAAGCACACAATCCAGGCAAATGAGTATTGGATAGGAATCAGTGCTGACCTGATGGTATCCACTTGCCCAATTATTCCCAGCACCACCACCATGATCTGCAATAAATACATTCTCGTGATTGTACAGATTCCTGTATTCACCATTTTGTATACCATTAATCACTCTAGGCTCCAAATCCATCAGTAAAGCTCGTGGTATGTAATGTTGGTCGTCTGCTTGATAGAAAAACACATCTTTCCGGTCACCTCCCTGTACCATGAGCAAGAGAAGCACATATTTAGTATATTATACAAACATTGCCGATTAGCTGAAATCAATGTTCTCAGATGTGACCCACCCAAAGACACATTCATTTATCTTCGGGACATATATTATTGACTACGCATGAACAAATTTTCCAACAATTTCATGCACAATAACTGGCAGTCTTAACAAAAAAAAAAAAAGGAAAAGCGTAATCTTCCTCCGTTAACATACTGAATTCATAAATTCACAATTGATTGTATATATCAATGTACATTTCCTGAATTTTGCCCAATTTTCTTTCTCAACCAACTTTCTGATCCAAAGAGTAACACTGCCGTACGTGTAATTTGAAACAACTAATCTACAAAGAAGATCTTCATAAAACATTCAATAGTTAAAGCGTAAAGATAGTTCCAAGCTGATTAATACAAATGAATTCGACGAAAAAGAAGAGAACAAATTGAGCACAGCCCAAACTTTAACTATAACCTCGAACGGGCGTGTAACATATCATTCAGCCTACCCAGTGAAAGTTCAGTCTTGGATTCAGTTCTCAGAATCTACAGTTAGCTTGTACATTCAATAATTGACACCCAGTGAGATAATTAATTAACTCATCCCCCAAGGAAACAAGCATTAACCATCTTTTACTCCACTAATCGAGATCCAAATTGAGGAATCATGAAGCCGAAGCAGTGCAAACACCAAAGCACGAGGTACAACCGAGAGAGAGAGAGAGAGAGAGAGAGAGGCGAACCTGAGTGGCAAAGTCTTCGAGAATCCCATCTTTGCTGATGCCGTGCTCGAGACAGAGCTGCTTCCAGAACTCCATCCCGATCTGGTTTCCGCATTGCCCCACTTGCAACGTGATTATCTCCCTCGGCATATTTTCCAATTTCCACCACAAGTGAACTAGGGTTTCTGTGAAATGGTGAAGAAAAAGAAATTGGGGATTCGTAGTTTCCTTGTCGTTCTCCTCTGCTTTGATTTGCTTAGCTTTGCTTTGCTTTGTAATGGTTTCTTCTTCTTTTACCTTCCAACAATGGCGGAGAGTGGGAGTGGCCGGCTTGTATTGGGGTTTGGAAAGCCGAAAAGAAGAGGTAGGGGTTTGGGGGAGGGGGAGGGCAGCGCGCCAATTTAATCAAATTGGAGAAACAAAAAACCAAGTGGAAAATTCAAAATGGAATAATTTTGACTGAGCTTTATTTTTATTTATTATATTGTTTCTTTTTTTATATATAAATGAATTTTATCTGAATTTTGATAGTTTATTTTTGTGACTTATTTTCATTTAGTTTTGGAATTTGAGATAGAATTTTTTCTTTTCTTTTTTTTGGAGAACTATGGCAATTAAATCATGTCATGTCGAAGATGTTCGATGAAAAGTATTATGAAAGATTGATTCAAAAGATAAAGCCATTTGTTTGCAATTTTATTTGTAAACATTTGTTAGTGTAACAGTTAAATCATGTATGAAGCGTTTTGAAATACAAAATTCCAAAAATATTTTGAAGTTAAATTTCAAATGCTTTAAGAACATGTTTTTATTTTGGAAACAGTGTGAAGAATTTTAAAATTGGCCAATTTTTTTATACGATTAAATACTTTAAGTCCTCAAAATTTAATCAAAGGAAATACTTTATCACAATATGATCAAACTATTATCATTCAAGTATTTTACTTGTACGATTTCAGTGGTATTGATTCGTTCATTTACTACTTTTGAATTATGGCGATAGAGGTACTGTGCATAGTTCGAACGATTTTGCTAAAATAAAACAATGAATCAAACATATCTGTTGTAAGACCGAAACCCAAACATGCGGTATTGTTTCATTCGGTTTTATGTTTAGTGTTCGGTTTTGTTTTTTGTTTTTGTTTTCCACAAATTGGTTTGATTTTTTAACCGATATTATACTAAAACTTTTTTTATAAGGTGTAATGATATTATGATCTCATTTGGGAATTAATATAATTTATATAATATATAAAAGATGAATTCATACCACCTATGCTTGACATTTGTCATCTCTAATTGATGATAATTCCATTTTTTTTCTTCTTAAATTCATCTTACGTGTCAATTTGATTGGTTGTGTTTCAAAGAAAAACATGTAATCATTTTATTATTTACAATTATTGTATTTTTTCACATCATTTGTTAATCTATATAATTAATAAAAGATGAATACCTGCCTCTTATGCTTGACATTTCTCATCTCCAATTAATGATACGTCCATTTTTTTTTATTTTTTTTTTCATCTTATGTGTCAATTTGATTGATTATGTTAATTAAAAAAAAAATATCATCACTTTATTATTTACACTTATTGCAGTTTTCCAACGTCATTTTTTTCTACTTAGGTGTTAATATGTTGGGATTATTTGATAAACTCCCTCATTAGACATGTGAAATTAAGATGAGCCCAAAACGTTTTCCCAATTTTAAGATAAATCAAAAACATTTTTTTTAATTATTATAAATAATGCAATGTCACTATAATACCCTAATTAGTTCAAACCATCAAACATTATTATTCCATTGCATCGTCTATTTTATCTCACTCTCATTTTCTCCACACAGCCGCCCCAACTCTTTCCTCCCCCATCTCCCCAGTTGCTCCTGTTTTTCTTTTTCTTTCTCAACAGCTGCTGCCTCCCCTCTATTTTCTCTCTACCACTGCCGCACTTTCTTTTCTCCCCTCCGTCGCCGGCTTGCCGCACGATTTTCGTGTAACTTTCATTTCCACAGCCGCTCACTTGTTGAATCTGTCTCCCACAAGGATTCCCTCTCCTCCGACCCACCAACAGCCGCAGCCTCGGCGTGGAGCCCAAGATCCTTCACAAACGTGCTTTCCAGTCGGCGGCTAGGGCTTGCGCGATTGTGATGAATCTCCGGCAGCGGAAACCACCTGAACGTCTTCCACAAACGTGCTTTCCATGGGCAATCTTCTTCTACTTCAAAGCCACGACGTTTCAAGGTAAGACGTTCCTCTATTCCGGCAACGACGAGATAATGTGATCTAGATACCAACGGATTAGGTGGTACAACGAGACTGGTGGCGTTTTTTTTTACTGTTTTTTGCGCAACAGTGTTAGTATTTTCGCGAGACGGCTGTAGGGTTTGATATTGGTCGCAATCTAGTTTTTTGTGGCGTCGATGGTTTTGACACGACGAGGCTAGGGTTTGGTATTGATTGCAACCCTTCTCTTACAATTTAGTCGCGCGGTACAAGATAATTTATTCTTTTGTAGTTGATTTCGATGATTAGTAGTTGGTTTCGGTGTTTTTTGTAGTTGATTTCGCTATTTTCATAGTAGATTTCGATAATATTGTAGTTGGTTTCGATGATTTTGTAGTTGGTTTCAATAATTTTGTAGTTGGTTTCGATGAATTTGTAGTTGTTTTCGGTAAATTGTAGTGGATTACTATAAATTGTAGCTTGTAGTTGGTTGCAAAAAAATTGTAGTTGGATTGAACTCTTTTTATAGTTGTTTTTGTTATAATCTGTAGTTGTGATATAATTTGGTAGTGGATTACTGAAATTTGTAGTCGATTACAATTTAGTAATTGTAGTTGATTATTGTAATTTGTAATTGTTTATGATATGGTAAATCTGCCAGGAAAAAATGACAAATTTATTACAAATTAATTTATCAAAAAATAAATCTATTAGAAATAAAAAAAGAAAAATGTAGAAATAGAATGATATATAGATAGTGGGTAAGAGGGGTGGATAATTGGAATAATGTAAGACCTCGTTTGGTTAGGGAGATTAGGCATAATTAATTAAATAATTGGACTTTGTTTGATGTTTGGTATCCTCAATAACTTGTCAGGTCGACCTGCAAATATTATGTTATCATGGTTTATCTTGCCTCTTAGGCAACATTTTCGTTGGACGTCCCGAGGTCAGATAAAATAATTGGATTTTCATTAGATTATTTAATCTTATCTTGGCTAATCTTATCTTGGCAACCAAACAAGGCATAAGGGTAAAATGGAATTATGAGAAGTTAGGGGGGATCTCAATTGCAAATAACTAAGTAAATTTAGTTCTATTAAAACAAATATTGAGGGGTCTCGCTAATAAACCCTTAATCTCCGATCTTGAAATATTGAAATACATAGGAAGGTATTATTTTTTTTCAAACTTAACATTCAAAGTTACTTCAGGGTCCATTTGGATGGAGGGATTTGGAGGAGGGATTTCAAATCCATTATAACAAATCTCTTGAACTTGTTTGGATTGAGGGATTTAAAGATGAATTTCAAATCCTCATCCCTCATTTTTAGTTGTTTTTTGAGCAATTGGTGTGTATTTCAAATTACTCCAAATTTGGAGTCATTTCAAATCCCTTCTCCAAATCAAATCCCCTCCAAATCCCTCCTCCAAATCAAATCCCCTCCATCCAAACGCACTCTCATAGTGAATTTGGTTTAGATAATGAATCAAAAGACTCTACCGGTGAACTTTAGCAAGAATTTGAGCCCACGTATTGTAATATAAATGAGTACTATAGTATTTGATTGTCCCATCTGATTGATTAATTGAGTGTTGTAGTATTTGCTCGATGATATCGTATCAGTTTCTGATTGTGTTCATTTCGTTACATTTTGAATACATGAGTTAATCGTAGCTCGGAAATTCGATGTTTTTGTAGCTATTTTTCATTATTTATATTTATTTTTATAGTCGATTACTTTAATTTTGTAATGAATTATGTTATTTTTTGTAGTTTTCAATAGTAGATTACGTTGTTTTTTTTTTTTTGGTTGTTAATTTTTGTAGTTTTCAATAGTGGATTACCGTAAGTTTACAGTGGATTCCGATATGCTTGTAGTGGATTTTCGATAAAATTGGAGTGAATTTTTAAATTTTTGCCTTTGAAAATGGTATTTTTGAATGTATTGAACTAAAACGTATTTGCCTTCTTTTTCTTCGTTCCAATTTCTTGAGAAGACGAGTGATGGCGGCGTGGGTACTTGGATAACTCTGATATTGTCATTGACGGTGCAATGTTTGTTGGTTTTTTATTTGATGTCATTTTCTTTTTGAAAATAAAATAGAGAAATAGTACCAATTTTGTTAGATTTTTTCTAATCGTATATTTTTTTTTCAAAGGGCGTTGTATTTTTTTGAAATTAATGGTTTATTTACATTCGTTAAAGTTGACTACTTTAATTTAGTGCATTGTATTAGTATTATAGTGGATTACGTTAAATATGTAGTAGATTACGCTAATTTTATAGTGGATTTATGTTATTTTCATATTGATTTTTGATAAATTTATAATGAATTTGATAATTGTGAAGTGAATTTCATTTTGATAACCTCCCCGAAAAAATAAAATATAAATATTAAAAAAACTGATTTTTAATTTAAATTAAAAAAAACAAAAGTTAAAAGAAAAAAAACAATTAAAATGAAAAAAATGAAAAAACCATTTTTTTTTGAAACACAGATAGAAAAAAAGAACATTAAAAACAGAAAATAAAAATAAACGGTTTTTTTTAAAATCAAAGTGAAAAAAAGAAAAATATAAATAAAAAAATATAATTTAAAATAAAAACCCAAAAATAAAAGAAAAATTAAAAAATATAAAAATAAAGAAATCCAAAAGGACACTAACAAAAATCTCTAATTCGGCAAGGCATCACCTATTAAACACGTTTGATAGAGACATCTGAATGGAACCCTTTAGCTCTTAGTGCATCTTCATAAGTGCTATGCAAACTTATATGGGGTTGTCTAGGGTCCGAGAGGGGTTGTACTACTTGGACCCAAACGATTTAATCTGGTGCGTAGAAAATATTTAGTAAAAATTTATAGTCGTTGATTTAAAGTACGAACTAGTACGATCCAGTACGAACCTATGAATTTATAAATTAAAGTACGATCATACCTCGACTAACTAATTTAGCCCAATTTCACCAATTAACCAATTTTTGACCATAATTTCAATTTTGACCCCAATTTTGACTCGCCACCACCGGAGACCGCCAGAGACCCACGATCTCCGGCGTTGACTCTTTTTTTTTTCCAAAACTTTGTTTTG